CCATCACAGAAAGATCAACTAAATTGCAAAACTTTGTACTGGAAAATCCTTTCAGACATGAACTGCAACCTTGCATATCATCCCCACTTACAATAAAGCTAACATCATTTAAAGACCATATCCGATGAAAATACAACTTGATATAAATGGAAAACTAAATGAATGTAGAATACAAATATGAAGGAATAAAAAAGTATTTACCCTTTCATTATTGCACAAAAGCAAATTAATTTGATTTGGGTCAAAATTACTGAAGTTACAGTGATGCCATTTCATGTGGACCCGACCGGTTCACATATTCAGCTGAGGCGATGAGCCATGCTCCAGTAATGCAAAGTCATTGTGAATATGCGTACTCCACAAAAGATTTCATCAAGTGGATAGCAAGTTTTTGGGCCGACAACTTCCGATTTTCAAAGCTTTAGATTTTGAGTTTTCAGAGAGCTGATACTCCTCTTTGATACAGACACTAAAATGGCATATAATTGATATTGTTGTAATCTATGGCTTACAAGCTTTCCGTTGATAATTCATCAATTTCATTTTTCAGTTCGGATATGGACTTTAAAGTCATTTTTGTAGCAATAACCACCCCAAATTTCTAATCATATTGAATATTGCAACTACATGTAATTAACAATACAAAAGCCAATTATTACTAACTTTGATTGCACAAAATAAAACTATGATAAAGATTCAGAAGACTTAAAGCACAGTGCATTGCTCTATTAAATATTGCAATTTGACACACACTAAGAATTTAAATATATCACGAAAATCAAACAGCATTCTTCAAAAATCTCATATTCAATCAGAATCCATGACCCTAATAAGAAAATACCTCAGCATTCTACAGAACGTCAATGCAATAATCTTTTAAAGATGAAAAACCTCTGGGCAATTTCATACCTCTGCTTTATTAGAAGCCTATCATAAAAATAAATTTCATTTGATTATAATACATGATGAACTTGCCAAAATAAACATATCACTTACTCATGGTTTTCATTCAAGATACAAATATATTTATTCTTACCACCAGGGAGTTTAAAAAAACTGAACTTGCTGGGGTAGTGACCAAACAACCACACCAATTTAAACAGGCCTATTGGAAAATTTTGCTTTATGCATTTATTTGCCTCGTAATCTTTTTTTAGCAAAAACTCTCAGAATGTAATTTTAAAGGGATCGTTTAACAATGTTAAATCTGAGATACACGGTCTTACATGTTACCAGTGTCTGTGATATGATGTAATATTGAAGCCCTAAAAAAAATCGCGCTTCAAAATGATCAAGAAGTGCCTCAAAAAAGTAAAAATCTTTGAGTGACCGGTTTTACCATACTCATTTTCCCCAATAGACTGTAGTATGAAAACCGTTCGGCGAACGGTTTTCAAAATTTGCAATTCCAATCATTAATATCTTGATAATCAGACAGGCGATCGGCTTGTAAAAGTCATGGAGTTCCTGACTGACCTAAAGGTTTATAATTATCATTGCAGCATGAGCTAAACCAAGGATTATTTTTAAATGGTCTAAGACAAAGTTACCGGATCCCTTTAAAAGTACTTTACTGCAAAAATAAAGACTGACTTTTGTTCAAATCTCCATTTTTCAATCCTGGCAGTCTACACATACATGTACATGTATTTCATTTTGTTCTTTATTTTATATAATTGGATTATTTCAATTTGTCTGAGCTGCTAATTTGTCGTTTAGATCATGATTTCTAGTAAGCCATTTCCAAATTCCTTATCTTTCTTTCTGAGAGAATAGAAACTAATTTTCACCAAATATTTCAGGGGGTCGGTTGTAGAATCATGCAGTTTCTTGCAAACATGAAACTTTTGTTATTATACATGTATTGATTGACAAAATTTTGGAGTCAAATCTATGAGATTAGCAATGAACAATAGACACTTTTCTTTAGACAATCTTTTTAGATAACTTTCTTATATTGAATAAGGTGTAGCAACTTCATTTCTAGACATTCAAAGCTCCATATACTTTTCAATCTTAGGTTTTAACCTTGTTATGTTCATCTTCTGTACCAAATTTAGTTTTACTTAAGTTTCATTTTCTTGTACGTAAGTGATAGAAGCAGATTATAACATTGCATGTCTGTGAAAAAAAAAACAGACTTGACAATAGACATGTACATGTACCATCGCCAAGACAACTTACAATGGGGCCTAAATGATTTAGGTCCATATTCTAGTAAGTGGTCCAAGGTGGACCTGGCCCAACTCGATCTATATGTCACTGATTCAATGAAATGCCAAACGTCACTCCTAAGATCATCGTAAATGACTGTAAATGCACATTTGTAACTGGACTACATACCTGGCCTAAATTTCTGCAGCTTTCGAGAACATAGCCTTTACATTTATCTCTAATTTACCTAACTTAACACTATTTTGCTTTGCAACTGTATTTCATAAACGCTGCATGTTTACACATAGTACCATTAACTTTCATCAAGATCTCTATATCCTTTATACAGTGCTCCATAAAAACCTTGTTCTTGTGTGCTTCTTTACAAAGTTTTTCAAAGGTGGGGAAGATATTCTTCTTTTTAATACTTCTTAAAGCGTTCATCTCACATTTAGAGACAGATCCCTACTTTTAAAAAAGAAAGTTTTTACACTCTGTTTATACATATGTCCATTAATTCACATGGATTTATACATTAAGCCTTGTTCAGATACGACGCAGTAAACCGATTTTTAAACGTAAGTATATGGCAGCTGCGCACAACACTCTTACGTAGGTCTTCACTTAGCTCTCTCTGTGTTGTAAGATACAGAAACGCGAAGCGTATTAAACGTTTCGTCATCATGTAAAAAAGCGTTTTATCGCTCCTTATCTGAACAAGGCTTTAGGCTTCATATCTCTATGAAAGGAAGTCCGCAAATTTTGTAACAAGTCACATGGCATAGCACCTCGATCATGCTCTGTATCTTCCTGTACACAGGGGGGCTTTTAATATCTTTACAAACTGGGCAAGAACAGAGTTCAGTTTTGGTAAGACTTTGTGGAATTTCAGATCCTTTTATATAAATATCTCTTTAAAAAACAAAAAAGTTTACACGCCCTATACATTTTACAAATTTACACCAAAGTTTCATTTACAATTTAATTTGGACATGAAATTTACAAATGGACCTCCCATCTCCTACTTAGACGCAAGGCCCATGTGATCATCCTATGGTACATATTTAGAAGGTAAGCCCTAAGAATCTTTTGTTTCTTTACAGAATACACATCGCATTTCCTTCATGTACATATGCACAATATACAAACAATACCTGTCCTTTCTCGAATTTACTTTGCTTTTTTTACATCGAACAAAAATGGACACATAACTTCCCGTCTCATGTAGAACTCGAATGGACGTTTATATTGCACGAGTACAAACTGCCATGTATACATTACTGGGGATGGAAAATAAAGCTTTAGATCTTCTTCAAATCATATTTGAATCACTTATAATCATACTCTTTTTCTTCATAAATATATCCTTCGCTGCTAGCTGCTGTTAACGTTACACACACGGCACATTTTAACCACTTATTTCAGTCGTGACGATCATATATTACTGACCATAATCAGCACTTAGCTGCAAAACATGAGAACACTTAAATACACATGCTTCATTAAACTACACTACTATTCTATCACATCACATTATCACTTCCACTGGCAAATACTTAAAAGCACAGAGGACTACAAATCCCACACAACTGACATCCATCTTCAAGCTGAATTAAGCCACAAGAAATATTTGAAATGGTTCGGTTGAATAATTTGCACACCAAATCTACATGTACGAGCCTTAATTTTTCATTGTCAATGTCATTATTTGTGAGAAACTGTAAATGTTTCTGAAATAGTTAGTTTTGCAAAACATTTAATTTTCTTCATTTTTGTTTGTTTTTGTTTCCTGTTGTAGTTTGTTTGCAAACCAGTTTTCTTTGTTTTTTCTCACTTTTAGAAGAGTTAAAAACAAATTGTCTTTCAGTTTGATTTTCATATTTATTTGTATATACCTTGTGATGTACTTTAATGATGTGAAAAATACATGATACATTTTATCTCCTGCTAGTTCTGAATGATTTTATACCTGCCAAACAAGTATATGATATGGGGGTGTTTCACAAAGATTCTAAGTAGAACTTAACTCTAAGTTGGACTTAAAAATTATGGAAAGCCATTAGCATCTTTGAAAATATTTGGTAAAAATATTTTTGAAAGGCATAAAATGTTTATTCAAATTCATATTTTCTATCATTAAGGAAATTTCATATTCTTGTTGTGGAATTTATAAAATGTCTAAAATACTTGAATTTCTGCTTTTGAGTATATTTCATTTTAAGGCTCCAATGGCTGTCCATAATTTTTAAGTCAAACTTAGTGTTAAGTTCTACTTAGGATCTTTGTGAAACACCCCCCTGGAGTGGATGGTAAAATGCAAGTATGGGACAAAATAGCTTCGACTTATGCCCAATTCCAAAGAACACTTGGCTTAAAACAGAATGGCAATGGCTTAGCACTATGCACACTAACTGTGCACAATATTCGTCAGTATATACTTCATGTGAGCATGTTTGAATATTCAACTAAACTATTTTTAAATTTTCAAAGACATTCAAAAAAATAAACATATAAAATCATGATTCTCAATCCTATAACCCATTACAAACAAAAGATTTGCTTATCATTGCTTGAAAATAGTTTCATGTTACTCATTATAAATTTACTCTTAGGCACTACACATATACCATTCAAAAATATCACAAACATTATTCCATGACTTACACACTTTCACAAACATATATTTTTATTCTTTTTTTTGGTTTTTCTCCCATTTTTTTGTTGTTTGTTTTTATTTTTCAGTCATTTATTATAATATTTTTTTGTCTTTGCGCAAGAAAGGCTTGAAAGATAAAATTTTGTACTACCAATTTAAGTGAGAATACATATCTTGCCAACATTTTATATTTTCTATTTTCTGAAATCACAAAGAAATATCAATTAATGATTGAAAGACACAAGTGCAAGTCTACAAAATCACTTAATTTTTCATTTACTTTTTTTTTTTTAGGATACTTATCCTGGTAAGGCATTTCTATTTCACATTTTGCACAATTTTTCTTTCATACTTCAACACTAAACATCAGTGCTAAATTTGAATCCAATTACGTTTATTTACAATTTAGAATGAACTGGAATCATAATCATTGTATATTCCAGTATTTTTGTCTATAGATCTACACACTAGTATTCAGTACTATTTGATTGTGGAATGTTTTTACTAGTATTGGTATGTAAGTATTTCAGATGACCTTGGCAAGTTCTGTTCTATCGATAAATATTTCATACTTTAATGAATCATTTCATTCTTACTTAATTTATTTGATTATTTGTTCTAGGATTAAAGCAGCAGGTTTGGTGGGTTTTAATGTACCCAAAATGGTTGAAAATTTTTGTTATTTCACTTATTTATGAACTGAATTATCTATTAAGAGCAGTTCCCTTGAATTCTAGAAATATCTTTGACTTTGTAGATTCAGCAAGCTTTTAATTATTTCTCCCTTTTCTATAAATTATGTCTTCCTCTATTGCAAAAAAAAAAAACTTTTAAAGGGAGCTCTTTTTATGTTTTTACTAAAGGTGCGATTTTATCAGGAAGAAAATTTAACAAATGTTTGCTTTTCATTTATTCATCTATGTTGTTTTTGTTTTTCTACTTGTTTTTTAAATTGTTTTAAACCAAATAATTTTTGTCAGTATTTATTGTTTAAGGCAAAGCAATTAGATAGAGAACTTGAAATAAAACATTTTACTGGTAGGCCAAAGTTTGGTCCAAGTTTAATGCCTTGTTAAATTACAGCGGAATAAACAAGAAGCAGTTGGATGGAATCGTTAAAAGGTGCCCTTTGATGAATAAGGCATTCAGGAGTGGATGGATGCACGGAATGCTTCTAAAAAAATGTCTCAGAAAACGAAATGGTGAAATGAAAAAGGCACATGCAACTCAAACTTCACCCACTTAATTTGCCTATAGTGCAATCTTCTTTGATATGTAGATTATGTAAAGCTCTAATGTCGCTATATGTAAGTTTAGTTTATTCCTTTGCACCAACCATATTCAACTGACTTGCACTTAGTATTAAAGCAGAAAGGGCAGTTGAATGGAGATTGAGAATGGACTCGAGAGTCGAGATGTACGCTTTGGCAAGAAAAACTTTGAAATCATCCACCATTTTGTTTTAAATCTTTATTTCACACAAACAGCATAGGACCATCTGTGATCATCACACACTGTATTCATAGTGAGGTTCATTTCCAAAATACACTTAGATTTCAAGACTTCAAATGAAATGCCACACATTAAAGAAGAAAATAAATTGAAAAAATTGGAATGTGTGTAATAAGGCTAAAGCACATTTGTGTTTACTACCTGAATTAATACTTATTCTACTCATACAATACACAGCTCCTAGACATCATAATTACCAACAATATGTCACGCTTTCATTTAAAGCAAGATGACATACACTTTCTGTGAGAGAAGGAAAAAAAATTGATTTGAATATCACTGGTTGTACAATTTACTTGTACTCTATTAAGCATGCATGATCCACGAGAATGGCAGGATTCATGACGCCATCTTCTGCGTCTAGCAATAGGGGGCGGTAGATCAGCTCCAGAAGGGGAACATTTTCTTGCGTCCAAACTCGGGAGCAGACTGACTGCGTGACGAGAAGCTGGCCGAGAGTTCATCGGTTGAAGGCGGAATGCTCATCACTTGTCTGCCACGCCCATCCATCGTCCCCTCAGACCCCGTCTATTGAGAGAGAGAGAAAGAGAGAGAGAGAGAGATAGAGATATATATATATATATAGAGAGAGAGAGAGAGAGAGATAGAGAGATATATAGAGAGAGAGATAGAGATATATATATAGAGAGAGAGAGAGAAAGAGAGAGAGAGAGAGAGAGAGAGAGAGAGAGAGAGAAGGAAAGAAAGGGAGGGATAGAAAAACAGAGAAATAGAGTTTAGAGAAAAAGAAAAATTGAGAGAAAGATAGAGTAAGTGAAAGAGAAGGAAGAGGAATGATGAGAGAGGGGTGGGAGAGAGGTGATAAGAGAGAGATGATAGGAGATAGATGGAGAGAGAAGGGGAGAGGAGGAGGAAAGGTATAAGGGAAAAGATGGAGGGAGAGAATGAGAGAAAGAGAGGGAGAGAGAGAAAGATACTAAATTAAAAGGTTAAATGAGCTGTACATTAAGGGTACACAATAAAATGTTAATCCATTGTCTATAAATAAACTTTAAAATATTCAGGTCACTGGCTTATGATAAGACAGTGGACATAAAAAAACCGTGGAAAACAAAAAGAGGTCCTGATGATCTACGGCACCCTTTTTTCATTGTTTTCTGGTCTCTCTTCCTGTTATAACTGAATGGGGATGTGCAGGTGGATCACTACATCCGGGTTTCCCCTACTCTCTTACGAATAGTGCAGTGGGTTCTTAACATGCAATGTGTTTACAAAATCTCCTCTTCGCTGGGCCTCCCTTTAATGTCCTTTCCCGTTTCACCTGATAAGAAAGCATATTTATGCTTGTAAGTTAGCAACCAGGGGACTGAAGACTTTACGTCCTCTCTGAGGGACTTGGTAATGAGGATGAATACCATACCTGCCAGCCATTGCCACCTCCCAGCTCATCCCTGTAGTGATGACCATCTACATCTATGCTCTGCATCTCGGATGAGGGATCATGGCTCCTAATATGGTCAAAATAGAAAAAATTAACATAATCAACAGTCTACTATTAAAGCATTGAGGTATCACATAATTACCATGTAATGTATCTTGTACACTGTAGCTTGATTTTTACAACATTCAAATCTTTTGGGCAAATCAAATAAATATACAGGTATTATTATTTCTTTGTTAACTCTATCTCTGAGCATATTTATCAACTGTTATCAAGGAAAAGGAGCTACCTACCGGTAAACAAACCATTTTCACCAAATGTTCTTATTGTAAATCCACTGCATAGTATAATACTTTTGAACTGTTTTGTAACTTGTATACATTTGCATATCATTAGTGACATATGAGGAGAAATTCCCCTCTTATCAAAAGGTGAAACAAACTTCTATTTAAATTTTGTAAACAAGCGACATGTAGCACTTTAACGCTGAGATTTTTAATTTGGCTATGATCTTTCATAACCTATTCTAAATGCTACTTTACTTCAATCAATGTAGTCTTTTATGTACTGCATTGGAACAGACACACTTTCATTATTTTATTAACTCTATTTGTTTTTTGTTTTTGTATCAATTGTTCTTACCCTGTATTGACATCCATGTTTGTTTGGGTCCTTGTTCCGTCTCTTCCAGTCTCCATCCTCCTAGCTCTCTCCTCCTCTTCAATCTGTATCACACAGTCTTCCATCTGTAATACCAGAGGAAGAAACATCGTTTTGCTTTAAAAGTGCTACAATCACCATCTTCATTGTTCAAACTATGATACTGTAGTCAACAGAAAGCAAAAGCAGTTTGAAAATGTTCATTTGTTCAAATCAAATCTGTAATTTCAAAACACTTCTCACTTTGGGCGTGGGGATTAAACTCATCTCCCAGAGTTATCAAGGTAGGTTTTTGTATTGTCCAAGATTTTGACAAATAAACAATACTGACAGAATCAGGGGAAACGGGACGAGGGAGAGGATGGGTGAGAGGATGGGTGGGAGGAGGGGTGGGAGGAGGGGTGGGAGGAGGGGTGGAAGGAGGGATAGGAGGGGAGGAGAGGAGGATCGAGAGGGTGGATGAAGGGGGAGGAGGGGAGAATGATGAGTGGGATAGGTGAGCTGGAGGGGGGGTGGGAAGGGGCTGAAAATCAAACAATTTTGAGGTTAAAATTGGCAAACCTCAAATTGGCAAAGACCATAGTGAGGAAGGTCATACACATACTGTTCACAATACTAATAACAATGATAATTATCAAGAGAAAACTTGGCACATCAAAACAATAAGCTCTAAACATAAGGCAGCATATTTAATTTCATCAGCATAGTAAGGGAATACAAGAAGCTTTTCAGCAATATACAATGCAATTAGTTAGTGTTAGTGTCACATAATGTATGAACCCTTTGTTTTTCAAGCCATACATGTTAAAGTTTGAGGACATTGTCAAAAAATGTAATCATTATCCAAGTTCTTATTTGTAATAAGATCAGTAACATGCATATGTTATTACATAATTACTATATAGCAACAGAACAATGACTCTACATACATTAAAGGCAACAAACATCTTCAGATTTCTACATATGTGTTTCGTTTAGATTTTTCTAACTACCTTTTTGTATTCAATTTCATTCAAGCTTAAATTTGTTATGTAATACCCTATTTTACAAAAAAGAACTGTGAACCCGATCTAGACTCTCTCTTAATTTTAAACTTTTTAGTTTAATATGTGCTTACAAGATTTTAAAAAAGCATAGGAGACTCATGTATATATGTAGGCCTATATGTAGGCCTATATGTATTCAAACATCTGTTTTATTCATTATCATTATTCTTTAATTGTTTTGCACATGTAAATGTACTTGCAATTGAGTGAGTCAGGATTTTGTTGGAAGGACTCAACATTTACATAGAGTGGTACTTCTCTACTGTCAGTGTAGGTTTGACCTTGAATATAAATATATGAGGCGAACATGACTTCTCATGACGGCTTCAATTACAGCTCTAATAAGATAGTCACATATCAAGGTGGCACCTAATTTGTCAATGTCATTCGTGTTTAGACAGCCTAGCGTTCCAGAAGCTGTGTTTAGCAACAAACTATAGGGCAATGTGAACATGGTTGGTTTTTATGTAAACTGAAGGAATACATTCAGATATTTTGTTACATTTAGAGGTAAGCTGTACACTGTATACATGCAATTGATCCCCTAGAGAATGAGAGAAAGAGAAAGAGAGAGATAGATGAGAAAAAGGTTGGAAATGGGAAGGAGTGAAATGGGGGGAAATCAAGAGTTACAGTGTAGGACAGAACCAGAGACAATTCATGACAGGAAGAGAGAGCATGGCATTCAGGTGGGTAGAGAGGGGGTACAGAAAGAGAGAGAGAGAGAGAGAGAGAGAGAAAGATATTGTCTTATATTTTCCTTTAACAGACAGCATGCATGGGGAAGAAGAAAGGAGAGTGAAAGAGAGGAGGGAGGGTGAGAGAATGAGGGAGGGAGGTTGGAATAAAAGAGTTCAGACATAGCAAAAGAGATTTTTTAAAAAATAGAGTGAGGAGAAAGATAGACAGAGGGTTAAAGAATAAGAGAGACAGAAAAAAAAGAAGAAAAAGAGAGAGAGAGAGAGAGAGAGAAGAAATGGAGACATGCAGAGAGAGATAAGGGAAGTAGGGATAGAGAGGGGAAGGGGGATCCACTACATGTAATGTATAATGAAAACGAGAGGAGTGGGAAAGAGAAACAGAGAGTAAAAAGGGGAGAAATCAAGACCTTGGGGGAAATGGTTGAGGGAGTTCCAGGCAGAGTAAAAAGGTGGAAACAGGGGAGTGTTGAATGGCACACTCACACAAATATTTTTAAAAAAATAAAAGCAGAGCACATATCGTCCTTGTTTTCACGAAGTGACGGTAGTGAGGAAAATTGTAACGCAAAGTGAATGCAATTTTTTTTCACTACCGTCACTTCGTGAAAACAGCGACGATATGAGGGCCAGGTTATAATCCTCTCAACACAATACAATGCCAACTAAATACAACAAAAATACTTTCATCATGAACTTCTCAAGGAGCTAATTTGACTTATTTGTAACAATGCCATTCATGTTCTTACTTTTTGTAATGATTGTAATAAATGAAAAACTTATCCTTATTCTTGATTCTATCTCCAGACTGCATCGCATACCAAAAAGAAAATTATCAAGCCTCTCTACAAAGAAAAATGTCCTTCAGTTCAGATGCAGTTTGGTTAAAGTTTGTTGGTACAGAACGGATACATTAAAGACATACATCAAATGCAGACTACGGAATATGCAATAGATAATACCTGCATATTATAAGCACAACAAACAGCATAATACAGCATAATACATAGTGATTATATTGCACTAATTTGCATTTAATAAAGCAAAGGTTATGTTATTTAAGCATATTAATAGACAGTGTGTTTATAGACACCTGATTTTGTTTTGCACAGCCTACAACTAAAGTTAGCACAAACACAAAATAATCCTCTGTCATATAGGAAATACACTGCATACATGCCTCTCCACTCAATTTTCATGCACATGGCTCACAAAAATTTACGTTTGCACAAAGCGTCGTCTACTTAACATATAAACACACTTATATAGCAGCCGGCAGGAAAAATTGTTCTGTTCAATAAATAATTGCATTCTTTATATCATATTTCTAACTGGTATTCAAGCATGCAGATATACATAAATTTTGGATGTGCTAGGCAGAAGGTTGCAAACACAAAGTTTGGTCATGTTTTTGTTCTTCAATTCTTTTCTTTCTTCCAATTCTTTGTTTCATAATGAAAAGGATTAAGAGACAATATAGGTAAACAACCTACAAATGTTAAAGACCTGAATGTTCAATCTTTGTGTACAGGTAAACAAAGTACTGACCAAAATGTGTAGTTCAGATGTAGTCAGAGAAAGTTTGAAACTTTTTTTTTTTATAATCATTATCAACATGACATATATTGTCTTTCCCTCCCTTCTGCCAGGTTACACAATGGTATGATAACACTAACTGAGGTAAGTTAAATGAACACCAAAATTTCTTTTATTTTTAACATGCCCCTGGCCCCTACCCCCGCTTACACATCACACAGCTCTGTTATCTAGCCCATCCTTTAATGGCCACCACAACACAGCTTACTTCAAACCATCAGGTCATTGCATCAGGTTGGTTGGTCGCGTTACCTGACCTTTTGTGAAAACATGCCCATTTATTCACGAATTGTCGGAGGTAATGCTTGTAAAATAAACCCTTCTCATCTACGAATGGTCTGGTCCTATTCACCTGACACTTTGTGAAAACCCTAACAGCATCTTCGACGCGCATCTTAAAGACCGTCAATACTACTGGGCCAGAAGGGATTAGACCACACAGCCAGGTCACTGACAGGTGGCTATCTCATTAACTCAGCTCTCAACTAACATAAGAAAAAGAGGATCATGGTGGACCAACAGGCACCGATTGGGGAAGTTTTCTATATAATGCGACCACCCGACCAGACACGGTGACCGGATGATTGGAAGTAAGCCCCACGACACAAATCATTTCCTCACTCTCTTTCTTCCTTGGTGGAGTCTATCTATCTGCTCGTCCTTCCGCAGGAGCACCTTGTCCAAGCTCTCAATCTCCGCCTCCAGGAGGTCCACCTGGAGCCTGGTGTCCTTCAGCTCCCTCTCCAGGGCCTCCGCGTGCCCCTCCAGCTGACCGATCCGCTCCTGGTCCTCCTGCCGTCGCCCTCTGTAGGCCCCGTTCAGCTAGGAGACACACACGGTGCACAGGCTACACTTAGTGGTGTTTCGATCATGCTAAATGCATTACCTCCATATATTTCTATCAAAGCTAGTGCCTTGTCAACCTGGGCCCCATTGCATAAAACCTACCATTGATGGTAACTTTGCCATCAATGGCAACTACCATGGTAACAGGGCTCAAACAGCCAATCAAAATCAAGGTTTCCATGATAGCCATTAATGGCAAAGTTACAATTAATGGTAAGTTTTATGCAATGGGCCCTGTTTGTAACTTGTAAATCAAATACCTTTTGCTGTTGTCTAGAAAACAGAAGAACTATTTTAATATTACATTAGAGTTTGCAAACAGGAAGAGATTACAGCTCTAGCTAGGAGGGTCTGTCCCCTCTATATAAAACCTGACAAACCCAAACTACACTATTAGCTATACTTTCACCTCATGCTTCTCAAACTATTCAAAGCTATCTAAAGCAAATATTGTTAGTTATCAAAATTTATCACCCAAGAGGAGAATGCATCTATCTAGAGTATTTCAAATAGAAACACAAATGCAAAATAGCTTCTGTCATGTACCGGTAATAAAGAAAAAATTTCATGTCTTAATTCACTTTATTTACATGATAAAAACAGCACAGCCTTTCAAAAAGTTAAAGACATTTTCTTTGAATGAACGGGTTCGGTAGGAAGAAATCTCTTAGGGAATGAATGGAAGCTGATAGAAATTCCTTTGGATGACCTGTGTGTTTTATTGTTTTGTTACAGATTGAACCATCAGGCAATCTGCAGAGAATTACGACATGTTTTAGTGTTGCCAATTCAAGGAAGAAAGGCTTAATATTGTAGCTACTAATAAATCCATGTCTCCAATTATAACTGCCAAACCTGTCTGAGTAGCCATCCATATGTATCTAATAATAATAATACTAATCAGATTTCATGATGCTTCTTTCCTGAGGATACAAGGAACTCTGTGTTGGTCTAGGAAGAAATTGAGAAGACTTATAGAGGTACGTTTCCAGATTTGTTGAAGAAGACAGTTGAAGTAGGCCTACTATTTCTTCTAAAAAAATGCAGCAAGTTTGTTGCAAAGGCATGGGGCAACAGATAGGAAGGATTTGATCTATAAGAGCGTTCTTTCTGAAAGCTATTTTACCTTGTGGGAGAAACATGTGTTTCAGAACCTGACAAGAAAGGCCACTTTTGCTGATTCCTTTGGATGGACTTTAGAGACAGGTTTGACTGTTTGAATCATTTTAATTATTAAAGCCATTTCGGTTTTGTACAGAAGCAAGTATTCTCACCATCTTTGGTGATCCATTCACCACGATACTCAGCATACTCCTCAGCACACTCAGTTGGGACTTGACCTTGTCACCTATCAACTCTGACCTCCGACCTTCATCCATGTCCCCATCTTCCTCATCATCATCATCATCATCTATGTGAAGTGCTGGGGTAGCTGCTGTGGACCAGGGGCTGGACGATACAGGGGCGTGGTGCGAGGAGGTTGGGTGGACGGAGTGTAGGACACTGGATGCATGCATGATGCCCAGGTCGGTGAGGGGTAAGCGCACCAAGGAGTGAAGCTCCAGGATGATGTGGGTCAGTGTGACATGGACCCAGTGAAGAACATCCTCAATCTAAGAAAAATTGAAAGAAGCATATGAGAATGTTCTTTAATTTAAACAAAATTCTGACTTTTTTTCAATTACAGATCGATCAATTGATCTTTATTAACTGGGTGTAAGCCACAAATATGTTTAAACAATGAATATTATGTTTCAGCAGACAACTCAAATACAACCGAGTAAGTAATATACAAATATTGACTGCTTTGAGGGTAACAGTTAAAACTGGGTTAGTGTTACATGGACCCCGTGAAGGACATCCTCAATCTAAGAAAAATTGAAAGAAGCATATGAGAATGTTCTTTAATAATAAAAAAAAAAATGTTTCTACAGACAACTCAAATACAACCAAGTAGGTAATAAACAAATACTGACTGCTTTAAAGGCCTTTGAAGGCCACAGTTAAAACTGGGTTAGTGTGACATAAACCAAGTGAAGAACATCCTCAATCTAAGAAAAATTGAAAGAAGCATATGAGAATATTCTTTTTTTTAATTCTACAGACAACTCATATACAACCGAGTAGGTATTATACAAATATTGACTGCTTTGGGGGTAACATTTAAAAATGGCTCAAGATCACTGAAGATTGATAGTTTAAACGTGACCCGAACATTCAGCAGTCAATATTTGTTTGATAAACCACATCCTGCTTGTGAAGTCTCAAAAAGGCAAATGAAATTAAGGAAGTTTTCAGTTCAAAGTGTATTTTAAAATTTGGGGTAATTTATTCATGCGCATTTAAAGCCTCCTTGCATTGTAAGCACAAGTAGAACTATGTCCGGTCAATATTTTTTTTATACTGCCCAGTAGTCAGTAGTGACTCTCATGCCCGCAGTTTGATCAATCAGAGGCCTATAATCTTAATTTACATGCGGTATATTATACCACCTTTACAATGAAATCAGTCTGTATTTAACAGGTGTTTTAAGATGACAAACAAACCTGTCTATATTTGATGTGCAAGTCTCCTGGCCTAGGACTCCTACTAGGAGATGCTTTAGGAGTCTCTAAACTGATAATTTCTTCATCCTCATCATCAACATCCACTGATACTCCTCCTCCTCCTCCTCCTTCCGCACCTCCTCCGCCTCTTCCTACTCCTGACTCGGCAGTCATGAAACCTGTGCCTCCTCCTTCTCTCACTCTACTGGCAACCATCTCAGCTCCTCTTTCGCTTCTTCCGAACTTATCGCATCCTCCATCACCACCAATGATGCATTCCTCCTCCTCCCCCTCTGCTCCGTCTTCCTCGTAGCTCTGTTGGTATCCCATGCCAGCCAGCTCATCGGCTAAGCTCAGACCATGATTCAAACATTGTGTTGCCATGGGAACCCCAATCATCATCCCCTCCTCCTCATCCTCATCATCTCCACCCAGGATGATGCCACTCTGCATCCTTTCATCACCTCCTAGGTAAACATCTCCACCTAAACCTACCAGTGTACTGGACGACTCCAACTTCACATTTGGCATGGATGAAGAGACTTGTGACAGTTCATCAGCGAGGCTCAAGGTATTTCCACTCTGTGCTACAACATTGGCTAAAGTGTTTGCCCCTTCTTGTCGAGGTGTCCCAGGACCACTGAAGCCCCTGGATGCCGTCTACCATCAACAACAGTTTCTGCCAGCTCATCAGCTAAGCTTTTGCTCTGATGCTCCGACCCATCATCCTGACAACGTCCACTTTGTTTGACAAATCCTTCGGTCAGACTATCCCTATCAACTCTTTCTACAAACTCTTGCAAGGTCTTCTCGTCCCGAGGAGTCTGGTCAACGTCTATTGCGTTCATCTCTTCCGCTAAGCTCATCTCCTGATTCCCCGGGGAATGACCCCTCCCGGAGGATTCCAACGCCCCTAGTGACTGGGCCAACTCCTCTGCGAGGCTCAACTCTCTAGTCAAAGAACTGGCACGACTACCAAGGAACTTGGACATCATCACGTCAGCCCTGTCATCGACCTCCAGGTCTTCTTCCGAGCTCTCATAGCCTGTGAGCTCGGCTGTCTCTAGCTCATCGTAGAGGGAGCTGCTGCAGTGTGTGTTGGCACGGGAACGAGCTGCTCCAAGCTCCTGCATGGTCTCCTCATGCAGACGGCTCAGGTCTCTAAGCTCCGCCTCTCTGAATTGCAACTGTAAAGAAAAAAAATAAATGTACAGTCAAACCTATTTTAGTGACCCCCTGTATAGAAAGGCCACCTGTTTACAAAGACCACATTTTATGTTCCCCTTACAAATGGTTTCTCATTGAAACATGTACTAAAGGAACCTGTCCATAAAGACCCCCTGCCTATAAAGACCACTTTTCTCCCTTGGGTGGTCTTTATAGACAGGTTTGACTGTCATACTACATCTGCATGAACATGATATCCTTAAAATATCATACTTATGTGTTGTACATCTCGATTCTGCAAAGGACCACCAACAATCTTTATTAATTTCATTCTGTACTGTGAACTTTATTACACTTCACATTCCAATTAATGTTGTTGATTTTTACAATGTGAAAGAGGGTTAATATAAAAAAAATTAGTTTAATAAACAAATTTTTCACAAGTCTACCAGGAGAGCAATTGTATACAGATTGCAGCAAAATTAATAAATCACTGACAGAATGATACTAAATAATACCTGTGGCTTACAATCTCAGCTGGATTTTTCTGATACTAGCTATTGAAGCCAGAAACGTTCATGAAATTGGCAACTGGTCCAGCTTTGGAACAGTTTATTAGTATCAAGTAAAAATGAAACAACACTTTTTTTTACAAGTCATGAAAGTTTTTTTTACCACAAACGAGGCCTTTACCGATTTGCTTTCTGGCTTTACAATAATCAAGGGTGCCTTCGCCAATTCCTCAAGCGAATGTGACCCCCTAGAGAAGGGGTTAAACTTACTCTCTGTTCCAGCTCCAGGACCTGTTTCTCCAGCATCATGTTCCTCTCCTTGGCCTCCTCGACCTTTGACATCATGGTCATGTTCTCACTGGACACGACAACAAACCTCTCCCCCAGCCTGTTGTTTTCATCCTTCAAAGCTCCAACCTAAACAAGAAATACAGAAAAATTCATGTTGACGTGTGCACAGTAATCAAGAAATAAAGGCAACCTCTCCCCCAATATTCTCGTCTTTCACAGCACATACTTATAAGAAGTATGTCTATGTTTGTGTCTGCGTCTACATTAATTATATATGGCATGTGGGAACGAAAACAGTCACTGCATAAATTAATAGTCCGACACATATTCATGTATCTTCTTTTGTTATCTATAACAACTGCTAAATTTCTATGACAAATTTGCTCTCAGCCAATCAGATGCCTGGATTTCAGTAGCTTATAACAGTAGCTTAATTGTAACTTGTTATTGATATCAAGTTTTATGAAACAGGGCCCTAGTTACTCACCTCACTTTTCAGTTGCTCAGACTTCCCAAGGCTCGAATCAAGATGGAAGAGGGACATACTTTCATTCTGCCTCTCGACGATCCCCAGACGATCATGGATGTTATCTCGTTCGCGTGTCGTCTGCGTAAACAAAAGAACAAGAACAAAAAACACTACTGTCAAATCAGAAAGTAAGATTCACAAAAATGTTCGCAAATTTTCGAGACTGTTTGAGGTACGCTACAGTTTCATGCCACATACTAATTGAATCACCATTAACATTTAAATCTTGGCTCATTTGTGAGCATTTCTTGCCAATTAAGTTAAAACTGGTGAACAGAATACAAGGGATCCATTGATATTTTTTTGATGTGACAAGTATTAATCATATTTTATTGAGGGTTTTCATACATGAAATATCTGTAACTGTAAGTGGTGCCCACTTTGGAATTCTTTTTTTTTTATGACTGTATATAATTTTGTATAGAAAATGTAAAACCAATCGTTCTTAACATTAACATTGCATTTAGATTCAATTTTTGTGTAATTAAAATTACAAGCAAATTATGCTTACAAATTAATTCAAATGACATATTGAATCCAACATAGGCTGGATTACATAATAACAGAGTGAAAATGGAAAGTAATGTACATTTGATTTGCATCTGGGAGAAAGAAAAATAGAAAGATTGTGATTATACAGGAAGGGAGATTTTGATGAAAAGAGAGAAAGAGGAAGAGAGATTGAGACAGAGAGAGACAGGGAGAGACATGAAGAGGAAAGAGAGGAGAGAGATGAGGAGAGGGAGAGAGAGAGAGAGAGGGAGAGAGATTACCATTTCCGTTGGAGATCCATTAATACATGATGCCCTTGTTTTGGGGGTGCATAAATAGTAACCATAATTTCATACCTTTCTTTAAAATAAAATGTTTTCTCTTCATTATTTCAAGAAAAAAATTTATAAGAAAAATATGAAATGATGATAAAAGCACTGTTTGCGGTAAACTGCACATCCATGAATGTCTACGTTCTCTCAATTTGAGCGAGGAAAAAGAAACATAAAACGATGCTTGCTATTTATGTAACTCCGTCACACGGGCGGGCGTTGAATAAACCGGCCTCGAGCATTAATGAGCAGATATTGGGTAGAATTGGTGTATGGAGGGGAAAATGGGTCAGCTTGAATGCAGTAGACGAGACCTTTGGGGTTGGTGTTTTTATAACAGAAATTTGTCATCTATTCAGCTCATGTTTCTTTGTTCACCGGCTCATGCCTTCTTTCCCCCGTGTCAATCACAGAAATCATTATATTTCAGTTTACCTTGAGCGTCTTATTCTGAATTGAAAGATCTGCCTATTTTCTAGGGATATCTTCTAGCTTGAAAGTAGATTCAATGGCAAAAAAGGTCTCAAGAGTTTGTTATTTTCATTTTATAAGGTACTTCTCACGCAGTGTACTTGATCTACATTTGTTTGATAGCTCTATTACCATCTGATAAGAGATGTGTTTTTAAAAAGAAAAGGTATACTGACATGCAACAATTATCCCAGGAATATTGCCTTCTCATGTGCTCATGTTATACTTTTGTGTATTAGTGGTACCAGACACGATTAGCAGTAAATGCTATTTTCTGGTCCCATTTATCCTTTCAATGTTAAACATTAATTTGATTGGTATATTGATGTACTTTTTGTTTGGATAATAAACTTTAACTTTTGCCTTTGAAAACTAAGGAAATTCTAAATAAAAAATAAATTCTAAATAACAAACATCTTAAATTATATTGATCACACTCTTTATTAATTAAGTCTTCTGAATCCTATGGCTATGGGCTATTAACTTCACCCCCTCCGGCTCCCCCATAAAAAAATTATATAAATAAAATTAATCTGTTTGCTTGGACCCTACTACATTTTGTACTTCATCAATTTCTTATCAGTGGGCACTCCAACTAAATGTTTGACATCCGCTTCTTAATATAAAGTCATTACAGTAATTCTACTTTTACGTAGTCCTATTTCTTATATCACCAAACCATCCTTGATGTTGATTGTGAACTAATTCTGCTGATAAACGGTTCAATCCTATTTTTGGTATGGCAACAAGTACAGTCTCTCTTACAGAAACAATTACAATTGCTTTGCATCTGACTTTTTTCAACCAGGTAATTACATATGTAAGTGCCTGCAGTCACAATTCAACTATTTCTGGGGAAAAACCCAAACGTGTGTTCATGGCTTCAATACCCTGTGCTGTAAATGATAGATGTGAATGCTTTCGAGCCAGTCGGTGCCGTCAATTTGCAGTTCATCCCTCCATCTTTTTCTCACCTTGAAAAAGCATGAAGGCAGCACGCAAACCTTTTAATTCATACTGTTGCCACCATCAACATAATTACGTCGTCAATGTCAGGACGATAGCTTGCATCCATCAGATAATTACGACTGACGACTGTATGGAAAAGAGACCCTGCCCTATCTTACCTAGAATAGTATTTTGATATCAATGACATCATTTCCATTAAATATGTGGGATATCTGTTTTGTTTCGCAATAGAGTGCTAAGGCAAGTAGAGGGTAAACCCGGGCCATGGAGTATACAATTAGAAGTTCATTTGTTAAGTCGAGGTTAAATGATTCAGTCATTTTTGGCCTTCTTTGACTTCCATTGTTTTTACCTCAAATTAATCTTTAAAACCCTGAAATTAACCCTAGGCATTTTTTTCACAGGTGAAAAATATATATCTTTGGCTATCTATGGCTATTTAATCTATATATTCTTTTGACATTTCATAGAAAATTCGATTTAGAACAGATGATAGACAAAAAATATATTCAGAGTTTAAAATAGCAACAACAAAATATATATATTCTGTGCTTTTTTTTCACATCTTATTTTGACTAGGGAAGTGACACTGCACTGCTGGATACTTGACTAAATTTGCTTTTTTTTTCAAGTGAAGAAAAACCCAGATTTAGTTTCAATTCAAACTAACAAAAATGATAGTTGTCACCTAGATTGTATGTGATTATACGCGACTGTGAATACAAGTAATTTTCTATCGTGGACAAACAATCTATGCACACTTTCACATTTTTCACATTTTTCAACATACACATCTAAGCAAAAGCACAATGATTGTGATTTACATGTTTACACATTCAGCTTTTCCAATATTTGTATTCATAGCCAAAGACTGAATTTTTTTTTTTTTTCTGTCTTTCCTATGCAAATAAAAAGTAAAGTACTGGAAGTGCATACATACAATGTACATGTGGGTACACATGAACGGAAGAAAATAATAGCTTGCCGCTCTTTTTTCTTTGCTCTCCCTCTCTTTGTCAATTTATAATCCACTATTTTGCTGCCTCTTTCTTTCTTTCTTTCTTATCTCACTACAATATTTGTTTCTCCCATGCCCTGTTATTAGACCATTTCTCCCTCTTTGCTCCCCATCTGTTACCCAGTCACTATGACTTATCCCTCCCCTCCCACCCCCCCCCCCCTCAACCTCTCTTTGTTTCTTTCTCTCTCTCTCTCTCTCTCTCTCTCTCTCTCTCTCTCTCTCTTATCCTAGTGTCTAACGTAAGAACACTTAAGTCCACCAAACGATAAAAGGAAATCTTAGCATGATGTCACACGTGGCTCTGTTTGCACAATCTCTCTCCCCTCGCCACCCCCCCCCCCCCCCCCCCCCCCCCCCCCGCCACCAACCACCATTCATTCATTTTCTCTCAACGCAAGGTCTTCAAAAAATCATAATCAATGGCAATCAATCTGCATAGAAACAGACGTAAAAGCAAGGCGATCTCCCAAGCGAATAAGGGTGCGTTTAAGCTTAAATTTTGAAGGCAGAATGAGCGATTTGTAACGCTCATCGTAAACGCTCATCGTAAACGCTCATCGTAATCGCAGTTCCACGGTGTACTGTTTATGCTCACTTCTCAGGCTCCTCCAGGCAATTCTCCCTGTGTGGCCTTAATTGGTCTTCCAGCTGGATTCGCAAACCTTCACTGCATGTGCATGCTACGTAGACCCACTAGAGGTCAGTGCGTTGACCCCATTTAAACTCGTTTACAAATTGTAAACGCATCTTTTTGTGAGTTTACGATCGGCGATTTTCGGTGATTCTACAAAAGTGAGCATGGACGCAACCGTGTTTTAAACTAAAGGCGTAACAGATGCCTGATTCTGGCCAGAAAAAGCGAAGCATAAACACGCCCTGAGGAGACTATAATATCATTAACATCCAGACAGATATTATATTAGAAGGTTCAGACTCAGACAGACGAACAGACAAACAAGCCCGCTGATAGACAGACAGACATGTACAGAAGGTTATAATACTTAATGTCAACAAATTTCCCTTTCATTTTTGTACTTCATGGTCATTCTTCCAGACAACATTCAGCGAAATGCTTTGAAAAAAGGGTCCTATATTGATTTATTACACACAGCACTTCTTTGTATACTGATACATTTACATTACACATGTAAATGAAAGTGTATGTTTACATACTATTAAAGATGAAGTTGAGTTCAGGTCATGCGTTTGCATTATGAAAGAAACGGTGTGGAACCGACCAGAAAAGGTTGATCATCTAGCATATAAGAATTTGTGTGTATTGCAAGGTTCTGGAATCATCAAAATGATAAGAAATTTGGCCAAGTCTTGGTAAAGTTACAAACACTGTACACAGAAAGATGTCTATGGGACTACACGAACACGGGGTGTAAAAATCTTACCCTGGATTTTTACGATGTTACATGACATATTTAGAATATATGAAGGCATTTGAAGAGCCATGCTTTTCAGGGAACATGTCTTATCTGATGTTCTTCCACACTTGCATAATAAGAATGAGTAACGCTCACAAATTATTTTTCACCTCTTCCCAGAACTCGACCTTTTCTTTAAAGAAGTATTAGCAGTAAAACTGACAAGAATTATAACTTAAATTGGCAAATGAAAGAAATAAACTTACTGAAACCATATAAATGACTTTTAAAAGGATTTTTTTTAAAGAGAAGAGTGTTATTATTCTCCGCCCAAAATTTTTTACGTAGAAAAAAGAAAAAAGTAGGTGTGAAAGTACGAAGAATATCAAATAAATTACTATCATCAGATCATCATTTTCA